TTTGTTTTAATTCTTCACCAAATGGATATAACAAAATTTATCTTAAAATAGAAAGATATCCTTTTTGTTATAACTCTATCTTGCTTGCTATTTGTGCCATAACGTTAGAACTTTTAAGAGAAAATACTACATTTATGGAATATAAATCAATTTAGTTAATTTTAAAAATTTATTGTTTAGTAGGGTTAAATTCATAGTTATAGGGAAGAACTGTTATTTCTTAATATTCTCAATTATGTTTATGAAATCCAATCTTGGGTAATTTTGTAATTGTATAAACAATTAATAAATTAAACTAGTTAACTGATATTATCGTTGTGTAGATATTAATTAATTTCTAAAAAAAATCAACTTGAAAAAGATACATAATTCTTATCTTAATGATTAATAACTGTTCCTGATATGCAAAATAATTATTGATAGTAGCTACTTTGGATGTAATTCATATAGAACTTAATTAAGAATATTTTTAGGAATGGATGTAATTATGATCTCTAATCTATTAGGGGTTAGAATACTTATTGATTAATTTACCTTTTCAGTCCTTTATTCTATTTAATACTTTTTTATCAATTGAAAATAATAATTAACAGGTTACGAAAATATTACCTAGATTAGAGAAGAGTGATTTTAAAAATCATTCAATCTCAATTTTTTACTTTGTTTCATTTAAGATTATTCTAAGATTAAGGATATTTATTTAATTTTTGAAATGTATCTTGCTTCTTATCTTTGTTCTTAAATGTATCATTATCTTTATTATAAACTGAAAATCTAACTAACTGTACTCTGTTTATATTACATATGAATTTATAAATGTTTTTTCTAACATCTCAATATTATCCAAATATTTTAAGAGTAAAAAAAAACACATATTATGCAAAAAGTTATAAGAAAATGATTAAAATTATAATTGTAATGTTTTAATGGATATTCAAATTCACTTTTGCTTTAAGTCTTCTAAAAAGAAACTTCCTTTGGATTTAAACAATGGTTTTAAATCTATTCCTGAATAATTAATGAAGTATCCTTATAATATAAGTGTTCCTGATGTTTCTAACTAAGGATTCTAACATATTCTAAGTATTGTACGATCAGGATTAACTAAATAATAAT